TTAATCTGATTTCAATATCTTATTTATAGACTTCTAATTAGAATATTCTAAATAAAAAATTATTTTTTAATGTGAAATTCTTTTGTTGGTAACTAAATAATTAAATATATTTATTTTATATATTATTATTATATTAATATTATATATATATATATATATATATATATTTAAGAGATTTAATTAGGAAATATATTTTTATTTAATATCATATAACTAATAAAAAATGTGGACAGATACAACAATAATAATTAATCCAAATTAAATCATTGATTTAATCTGATTTTAATTTTTTTGTTAAATTAAAACTAAATTACAACAAATTACATAATATTTTTTTGAGTTATTATTTGATAAAAATAAATAAATTAAAATCCACCACCGACAAGTGTAGATTTTCATCGTAGATAGTGGTTGGTTGCATTTATAGACTTTTATTTAATTTATTTAATCTTTCTTCAATAATATAATATTCTATTATTTTATCCCGTTGTGACTAGAAGAGGTCATAATAACCTGTCCTACATCGATTAACTAACTGTTACGATTATTTTCTGCACATGTGAATAAAGTCAACTATGGTGAAACTGGCTCTTGTATTCTCATATACTCTACGCATATTATATAATTATAATTTTCATTTAATTAAAACTCTAAATATTGAAATAGTTGTGTAAAATAAATGGATAAATACATCATAAACTATTGAATTGAAACTTAATCTTGTAACTTATTATTTATTATTTATATAAGAATGAATTTAAATATGATTAAAGTTCAATAAATTACTCTAAATTAATTCTTTAATATTAAATTTCTAAGAATATTACAGAATTAATCAATTTCTTAAAAAATATTTAAGAATATTAAGAATATTAACTTTTAAATAATAATAATAATTTTAACTTTGTCTCAATTATTAAAATTTAAAATTAATATGATTCAAGTCAGAAATAAAAATTATTTTTTAATATACATTTATTTTTAAAATAAATGAAATTAAATTAATCTAAAACCAAACATTAAAAACATATTAATATAAAAAATTGAATATATATATATATATATATATATAGTATATATATATATATACAATAAGAGTCATATGTTGTAAAATTTATGAAAAGAAGAACCCTAATTATATAAGAGATAAACTCTAATCTATCCTATTTATATTCTTTCTGGCTCTTCAAGTTTGCACTTCTCTCTCCATAATAGTTTTTTCAATTTTTTTCTTTAATTTTTCTATTTATACACATTAAATTTTTTTCTACTTTCCTTCTCTCGATGCCTCAACTATTTACTCAGGATTTTTACCCTCTTAAAAAGTCATTTCTTTTTATCGCGAATTTGCTCTATAGATTATCTTGCGTTTCTTAAATATTACTCAACTTTTTTGTTATTTGTTCAATACTTCTAGTTATCCTAGGAATGATCCACACGACATCAAATCTACTTAACTGATTAAAAACCGTTTAGTGGATGGAAAAAAATGACTCCTCATTCCTCTCTAAAAATCACTCAACAAATTATTTCTAAACATTTTGACTCTTTGTGCAATGTTATAATTTATTGAATCTTTTGAACAATTAATAAAAACTTGCACTAATTACCTTTTTTTAAAACTCAAAATGTAAAAGTTAATGGAGTATTAACAACTTATTTTTTATAATGACATAGAATAAGTGTCATAAATAAAATTAAAATCATGAATATTTTACACTTATCACTAAAAAATCAATCTCATAATTGATTTTCTCTCTTTTCATTTAATTATTGTTATTCTTTCTTCTCTATACTTATTTGGTGATTGTTTTACTTTTTCTTACACTTACACAGTCATTTCTACTTCTCGCATTCCATCTTATTATTTTAATTAAAAATATTATATTAAAATTTGATAAAATGAGTTTTTCATTATTTTTGAAAAATTAAATGAGTTTTTTTATTATTTTTGAAAATTTTAATATTTAAATTATCCAGATATACTATAATTTAATATAATATTATAAGTTATTATAAAATTATTTTTATGATATAAATATTAAGAAAAAATTAAAAATTTATTTTAATATAACTTTTTAATAAATATTTTTGTTTAAATTACCTAATCTGAATAATAATGATAATCTAACTTAATTATAACTATATTAAATTACTAAATAAAAAATACATTTAACTCATTAAATATATTTAATATCTTTTTAATTAGATTAATAATTAATTTATTATGATAAAATAATTTTAAATTAATTATTTATGTCGTCTTAAATAAAATTATTTATTATCATAATAAATAAATATCATCATAATTTTAATTAATTAGTTGATATTGTTTTAATTGCAATATTGATCTTAAAAACATGTTTTCATTAAATTTTAATAAATTAGTTTTAATGAGAAGAATAAGTGGGAAAAGGAAGAGAGATAAAAAATATTAAATAGAAAACTAAAAAAAAATTGAATAAAGAAAAAGAAAAAAATAATGAAAAAAACTATATATAAATAATAAATAAATCTATTTAAATATATAAATTAACATAAATTTTATTTAAATATTGTTTTTAAATATATTATTTTTAAATTGGTTATACTTTGAAAAGGAGACGGCAAGGCAAGAAAGACAGATGAACGACAGCCACCAGAAATTTTGGTGCCAATCGTATATAAAATATTTAGAATATGAAAAGGCTAAGGAAATATGATTTTTAAAGGTGAATGATAATAAGTGTTGCTAAGGCATGACACGATAGATAGTTATGTATATTACTCTTTATACTTTTAGGGTTCTTGTTTATAACAATACAATGTGAGGAATAAATACACGTCTTAATGGATTACTTGTTCTCTTAATTAAGCAGGTAGGTGTAACAAAATAATAAGAAAATATACATTATAGTTACTTTCAAGAAATCTGTGTTACAGTTTTCATTTATTTTTCATTATTTAACAATTTACGGTGACGTGTTCTGACTTTATAAAACCTATTATAAATTAATCCTGCACTTTTTTAAAAGTAAAATATGTTTATTGCTTTTCTTAAAAGAAGTTTCACGTCGGTCAACCCGTAGTTCATCTCGCGTGTACAAGTGAGATGACACGTTAGAATTCATAAAAACACATAAAAACTAAATATGTGACCGGTCAGATATAAATGTTGGGTCCTGCATGGTCCAATTTAAAAAAAAAATTGTTTTAATTTAGAAAATGTAACCCTATTTTTATTACGTAAGATATTATTAATATAACGTAATATATATATTTAGGCTAATTATCCTAATTATTAGAATAGTAAGTACATTGACTAAATATATAATGTTATATATATATATATATATATATATATATATATATATATATATATATATACTTAAATCATTTGTAAGTTTTTATTGAAAATTCATGATTATAAAAAGGAATAGAAACAATAAACCTTAGGAAATGTGAGGAAGAAAAACGGAATAAACCAGCTGATAAAAAAAATTACACCTTTTACTTAAATTATAAATAAAAAACTAAAATAAAAAGTATAAAATCGATAATATTTCTTCCGTAATCATAAATTTTATTATTTCTCTAAAATTTTCAATTAAATATATCCGCTATATATATATAATTAGAGATAGAATTTCAATTAAGATGAACTAACTTATCTGTTACAAATCTTTTATCGAAAGAAAAAAAAAGAGAGTTATTAAATAGAAATTATAAAATACTCCACTCCCAACATCTAACATTCAACAAAAATAAATAATATTTTCTCACTAACCGAATGAAGTTATGTAAGTTATTGGCTTCCTGTTTACATATGAAAAAGAAGAATACTTAGTACATTAATCTCTTTCTATTATTCTTTAAATTGCTCCTTTTTTTTTACTATTTTTCTTATTATTGAAATAGTGCAAGGGTGTTAACCACTTCTAAGAATCTCCTAGATAGAACATTGATTTCAATTTAGATCCCCGTACTCTATCAATATAACAATCATCTTCTGCTGATAATTATTCTAGTAGGCCATCTGAAAGTGAGCCTAATTTTAGTTTGTCAATGTTTTACCTTTTTCAACTTATATGCTAGATTCTTACTTTCTTTATATCCTTATAGCACCTCTTTCTATAATAATAATAAAAAAACTAAACTAAACTAAAATAATGATTACAAAGACCAGTGTTGTTTTAGAAAAAAAAAATTTAAATCTTTCTTGACCGATGCTGATAATTAATCTTATATCGTCATTTATTTATTTTTATTTCTGACTAATCAACAGAAAGTAATAAACTTAGATGGCGAATGTTTAAAACTATGCCAATCTGAAAATAACCCACATAAAAGATGGAGAAACGTAGATGTTAGGTTATCAAAGTTTGGACATATCTAATTTTAGCAAATTGATGGGTGAAGTTGACTTTGCAGGATTGATTAAGTAGCCTTGATATAAACAAGATCCTCACAGTTTCTAGAAGTGACGCAGTCGTTCATTCTTTATGGTTTAATAACAAATTAAAAGGACAATTAAATTCTAATCTGATTCAGTACGTTACATAAAAGTCTACAATTATTATTTCAATCTCTAGCCAAAATATATAAGAAATAGATAGTAACCAAATTAGCCTGATCAATTTGTCAGAACGAGACAATGGAATTTAATTCATTCCAATGACATGTAATTTATTCTCATTACAACCTCCAAATAAAGCAGGTTCAGATAATTAATCTCGGTTTCATTGACGGTAAGAGAACCAAACCAATGATTATACGCAACTAAAATGGTTCCAATAAAACAGCTAACACTGCCGTTGACAAGTAAAGCAAAACCATTATTTTCCTTAGCATATGATAATAAAATAATAACTATACATGGTATAAAATGCATACATGGTATAAAATGATACATCCGAACGCTGGTGGAAACTCATGAAGGTTACAATTTCACAAATACAGTGCATCTCCAACTTCATAACATCATGGCCCAATTTGAGCAAATCAGCTGTTTTATAATTTCCATGCTTGTAATATGCCTACTAACGAGTTCATTATCCGAAGGTTTTGATGTAAGAGCAGCCATACTAACTTTAATTTGTTTCCTATTGTTCATTATAATCACGAAGTACTTATGCATGCACTATACGCTGAATTTACAATTGTTGAGTGGATTTTAGGACACATTCACCCCAACAGAAAAGACAGAAAGCTGGTTAAACCATGGTGGGGATATATACAACAGAAGATATGCCAGAATGGAGCACAAGATCAGCGTTGAAACTGTTTCCAACCTAAGTTTGAAGTGGAAGTTCATCGCAGGCAAAGACATAACTGCAACTCCAGCGATTTTCAATGGGATTCTCTACTTTCCATCGTGGAATGGGGATATTTTTGCAGTGAGAGCACGAGATGGACTTCTGGTGTGGAAGCAGAACTTGCAGAATCTAACGGGGTTAAATGCAACAGGGTTTGTGCCAGGTGTTAACTGGACAGTAGCAAGAGCAACACCAACCATAGCAGAGCATGATCTTTTGGTGGTTGGAATATATGGCCCTGCAGTTGTTATTGCTCTGAAGAGATCAACAGGAGAGTTAGTTTGGCAGACACGTTTGGACAGCCACAACTCAAGTGTTACCACCATGTCTGGAACCTATTACAAAGGGTCAGTTCTTTCTTTTCAGATAAATTATATGGTACTCCTTTCCAAATTTAAGGGGTTTTTGTTTGAGAAATTAATTCTCTCTCTTTCTCTTCATTCTCTTTTTTAATTTGTTCAAACTCATTTCTATTCACCCCATTGAAAGTTCTTTCACATCAATTATTTCCAAAAATATCATACTAAGACAAATTAAAATTTTATTTTTAAGCCCCTTTCTCTTTTTATTTCTTTTTTAGAATAAAGTGTAACATGCAGAGAAAAAAGGGTGTTCAAAATATCATAAAAAAATTATGCTAACAAAGACTCTTGATAAATCTCATGTCCATGGAACATCTAGGGTATGTCTAGTGAGAGGTTCAACAATATACATAAAATTACAAGTTCACTACCTGGTTGCCTTAAATGATATTTTTTTTTATCTATTTAATTAAATGATAAAAATATATTTTAAAATAATGAAATTTTATCTTGTTAGAAAGGAGATCAATGCTTTATTTGTTATATATATATATATATATATATATATATATATATATATATATATATATATATATATATATATATATTTGTCATAAGGTTAAGTTTCTAAACGATAAAAGCACAAAAGTCAACAAAACTTAAAACGTTGACTTTTGATTATATGATTATGAATAGTATATTGACAAATTAGTATATACTAATGTTCAATATTTCTTTTGACCTAGCTGAATTATATTTAATTTGTTGGGGGTGTCGTCTCTAAAAAATTGTATGTATATAACCAATTCTTCGGAAGTTAACAACTAATTTTCTGTGCCAATTAATAGCTGAATGCAAGTTAAATCATAATAAATGTATAGTGGATGAGTATAAACGTTATAAAATTAAAGTTTTTGTGACTCAGTATGAATAAAATACGATCTAAAACGATCGAATTCAATACAATTTTGATTTCTTTAGATAGGGTCAAGTTTTAATTTAAATTCAAATTGATTGAATGATTCATAAAATAATAACATTTATGACATCAATCAACGTTATGTTTTCTGTCCATCTAATCCTATTTAATAAGCAAATATTTCCAATTTAATCTTTTGGTTTACTCTTCCATATGGCACATAATATTCTTGGCATCTCTATTTTAAAAAATATAATTTTGAAATTATTTTAAATTTATCACAATTTTTTATATAATTTTAAATTTTCTTCAATAGTATAATTTTGAAAAATTAGTCATCAAAACATCTTTTTATTTCAAATAATTTATATTTATAGTTTAGATTTGTGAAACAAAATTTAAAAATAACTATGCAATAATGAAAGGCGTTATGTGAATGATTATGATGTATAATATATTAGAAATTCAGAGGAAAAAATATGGCGTCTTAATTTATGCGAGGGGGAGGGAACTCTGATCTACAGAATGCTTATATTATTGAAAATCAATAAATAGAAATGATTATAAATTTAACATATATACGTGTCTTCTCATAATTTTCATGTGAAACAATTTGGTATAAACTTGAAGAAGGCTAAATTAAAATTAATTATAATTTCGACTGTTCAAATTTTAATTGATAATTATTATTATTTTTCGTAATAATTATTTATAAAATATTTTAAGGTAACCCTGAATGAAAAAAGATGCCCATCCTATCTATATGTGGATTTTATTGAATACGAAAACTGAAACACAGACCAGAAACTTTCGACTGTCATTTATATAAAGAAAATTATTACATACACACGCTCATAAAATCCCCTTCAAAAATTGCAATCTACAAATATTCTTTACAGTGAAGTTCCATAAATACAGGGCTTTTTATGTTGGAACATCTTCACTAGAAGAAGGACTCACACCAGAAGAATGTTGCACCTTTCAGGGAAGCTTCTCCAAGCTAGATATGAAATCTGGGGCTGTTTTGTGGCAAACCTTCCTGCTACCTGATAATCATGGAGAAAAAGGAGGATATGCTGGTGCAGCTGTATGGGGAAGTAGCCCTTCTATTGATGCATCAAGGAACCTTATATATATTGCCACTGGAAACTTGTATTCTGTCCCTTTGAACATAAGTGAATGTCAACAAAGAGAGAATAATGTAACACGACCCACTCATCCTGATGAGTGTGTTGAGCCAGACAATCACTCTGATTCCATCCTTGCACTTGACTTGGATGATGGAAAAATCAAATGGTACCACCAATTGGGAGGATATGATGTGTGGCTCGCTTTATGCAGCAATTTGTCAACACCTAATTGTCCAACTGGTCCGAACCCAGATGCTGATTTTGGGGAGGCACCAATGATGCTCACGATTGTTCTCAACAAAACAAAAGAAGATGTTGTTGTTGCTGTACAGAAGAGTGGTTTCGCTTGGGCTTTGCACCGTGATGACGGCAAGCTTATTTGGTCTACGGTAAGGATTTTAAGAATTAAGAGTATCCTTATGAGAAATGCAACTGATATATTATCTTAAATACTTTCATTAGGAAAATACTACAGTATTTGAAATTAGAAAGGGTTATTGAGGAACTTAAGTCCTTGACATGACTAGATGGCTCACAAGGCACTTGTTGACTCATTTACAGTGATATGAACTATTTATATAAACTTAAAGCTTCTAGCAGTTAGATATAAAGTATTAAGTTTCTTTGTAGTAAATACATAGTTTACAATTAACTCAATAATTTTACACGAAAATGTTATATTGGTTTTCTAGAAATTTTGATGGAAGCCAACTCTGCAACTTTCTTTTATATTCTTAAAAATTCGCAGCACTTTCAACACTTATATATATGTCATGGTTATTTACTGCAAAGGATACTTGAGTAACTTTTTGACATCTAGGAAGGGAAAGATAGAAAATATTATGTCATTTTGATATGATAACAAAGAATTTTACCAAAAACTTGGAATCTTCTTTATTATTGAGAAAAAGTTTCACATTAATACTCTTCAATAACATCAAACTTTTCAGTTCCCAAAACTATTAGAAACATGTTAAGAGACGTTCCAATAAAACATAATTAACTTATAATTAATTTTACTTAACAAAACCTAACAAAACTCTCCCTTAAAATTAACTCTTTGCATCTAAGAATACTTAGATCGACTTTATCCCAATCTCCTAGCTTCCAACTTGTCTTCAACTTAACTTCAAGATCAACTTTCGATCACCCAATTACTGACTTCAAAACATTTTGGCCTTCAAAACATTTTGAATTTCAAACTTTTAAGCTTCTTACTAGTCGGCTTCTCATCTTCTTCTTTCCGAGCACTCCGGGTTCTTTCCATCTTTTATCTCGATCAATTCATATTTCCACACCAATCACTGTCCAAGTATCTTACCACTCAGTAATTGTCTGACCACTACACATCTTTCTTGAATATCTACTTAACACAAATTGACTGACCATATATCGACAATTTGGTCATCACCAACATATCATTCTGTTCTTGGATCTTCTCATCTATAACAACTTGGTTCTTCTCTTCAACTTTTCTTTGAAGTGGGGTACTCGCCTGACCACTCCTCTACAAACTCTCTCATTCATACTCGACATTTCGAGCATCACACATTCACAAACTTTCCCCTCCATGCTTGACAATCTGAGCACCACGCTCTTCATGGTTAATTATTTCTTCTCGGTTTCTAAATTTACAACCGCTTATGACACATAAGCTTGGTCTCTTTCTGATTTCACAACTACTGCAGGTGTTACAGGTTGCCCTACTCGGCCTCCTTCACTTGCATCATCAGCTCAGACAATATCATGATTATCATTATGAATCAACTCGACTAAGCCACAAAAATGCTTGTGACTGGATCAGTGATTTACCTTCAACGTGTCCTCTGATCTCAGACTTCTCTTGTGAATGCTTCTCAACTCCAACTTGAACATTTTGTTCTTCTCCATCTCTGCTCAAGCAAGTAGCCTTCCAAACTTGTTCCTCAATTGCAGTACTCCATCTTGATCTTTCATGAAAACCGAGTATCCTCTATCCATCAGCTGTCGCATATTCAAAATATTACTCGTTATATTTGGAACATAAAACACATCTTGAATTAACCCAACTTGGTCATCCTTATGCAAAAAACAAACAACAAATCAGCCTTTTGTCAAGATCTTTGAGTCATCTCCAAAAGAAATATAATCGTCCTCAAATTTCTTCAATTTGCTGAATAGGTGTCCGTCCCCCACACATATAGTTATTTGTGCCCGTATACAGATACCATATCGAGCACTCGATCGATATTTGCTTGGAGTCCTTCACTCCAAATTCCCATGTTGAGATCGATCATCAATAACGTTATTCTAGTTTTCTTCTCTTCCGCAAGATAGGTGATGTGGACATAAAAGCCCAAGAACATGAAAAGAAATATGAATATCTAATTAAAGACTTAATTGGACCAATGACTTGAGGAAGGATTAGAAAGACCTAAGAAGTTTTACAATGAAGGTAACTCTTTTATAGGAGGCTTAATAGTCAAAGACTCAAGTCACTGAGGAGGCTAAACTGGTTACATGTATAGTGGACTTGGAGAGTTGAAATAAAATTAATTTATTTTTATTTTCGCAAAGTTGAGATTTGAACCCAAGACTATTAGTTTAATATTTGATTAGTTTTATTATAAATAAAGTCAAGTCCAACAAAACCCTAAATCCTAAATTTTTATATTTATGATTGTTGAATTGAGAAAAGAGGCAACATATGATTTTTGTTTAAGTGAGAATATTTCTCTATTAGGATTCTTCCTTGCATCTTCGATCTTATCAAGAATTCATCAATTCTTGTGGCTATCACCCTTAGGTTTATCAAACTTTGTTTGTGACACCTTCCTTTATTCAAGTTTTCTTTATATTGTTCTCAATTTCTAATTTTCTATTCTTAATTGATTCTAAATCTTAAATCTTTTTGCGTCAATTCTATTTGGAATCTTATCAATAAGTCTCACCTTCCTTTTAACCTTCTTTGGCAAAATGTCCCTCCTTTCTACAGTCAAAGTATTTTCCCTAGTAACAATCCTTCGTATAATGATCATATTTGTTACACTTGAAACAATCGACATCCGAGTGGTTTATTGACTAACCTCATCTTGGTCCACTACATCACCAGTTTTGCTGAGTCCCCTCTTCTTCTTCCTCCTCACCTCGACCACTTCGGGACCAACCACCACGTCCTCTTCCTCTTCCTTTATTCCTCTGGGAATAAAGTGTCTTCTCCTCATTTTGCATCAGTTTCAAACTCGTGTCCTCGTCCTCATTCTTTTTCTTCATTCGGTGTTCATAAGCTTCAAAAGAATTAATCAACTACTTTATTGAGATATCGAACAAGTCATTTGCTTGTTCTATCATGCACACTACGTTCTCAAAGTCATTTGTCAATGACCTCAATACCTTTTCAACAATTTGTTCTAATGAAAATGTTTCTCTCGTTCCGAATAGGCTATTTTGCCATGTTTTCAACATGCAAGATGTATTCGCAAACTTCTTCCGACACCTTCATTTTCATGCTCTCCATCTCGCTTTGTAGTGTCTGACGTGGAACTCGAATGACTCGATCATCTTTCTTGTACTCCTTCTCCAGCTTCGGTCCACGTATCGGATGCCGACTTGATTCTTACGATTTTCTCAAAATCAAAATTTTCTACTACTCCAAACAATAAAAAATAGACCTGTACCATTATTCAAACGTTTCTCTTTAAATGTTATGAGTGCATTGGATGACAACCCTTTCGATCTCCGATTCTTCATAGTTGTCCTCTATCACTTCCCAACAATCTAGGGTAGTGAGGAGAGCCTTCATCTCGGATACTTCATCTATCATAATTGACATCCTTCCTCGGTCCGGGCACAAGTGCAACAACATTCGTTAGATTAGTCATCTCACTTCTTAAACACTCAATCACTAAAACTTTAGCTCTCTCTGAGAAACCCTCAACTCTCCCTCTTCTAAAGAATCCAAGTTTTTCTCAAAAATAACCCAAAAACTCAAACTCTCTTGAGGAACAAATCTCTCCTCGAGAGCTCGATACTATTTTGATAACAAAGAATTTCACGAGAAATTTGGAAATTTCACTCTTATTGATTCTTTGTCATATTGAAAACAAGATTACATATTCTGGTCTCCGGTTCTTCATAGTTGTCCTCTATCACTTTCCAACAATCTAGGGCAGTGAGGAGAGCCTTCATCTGGATACTCCATCTATCATAATTGACATCCTTCCTCAGTCGAAACACAAGTGCAACAACATTCGTCAAATTAGTCATCTCATTTCTTAAACACTCAATCACTAAAACTTTAGCTCTCTCTCGAGAAACCTTCAACTCTCCCTCTAAATAATCCAAGTTTTTCTCAAAAATAACCCAGAAACTCAAACTCTCTTGAAGAACAAAGCTTTCCTTGAGAGCTTTGATACCATTTTGATAACAAAGAATTTCATAGGAAATTTGAAAACTTTACTCTTATTGATTCTTTGTCATATTGAAAACAGGACTACATATTATGGTCTCTGGTTCTTCATAGTTGTCCTCTATCACTTCCCATCAATCTAGGGTAGTAAGGAGAACCTTCATTTGGATACTTCATCTATCATAATTGACATCCTTCCTTAGTCGAGACACAAGTGTAACAACATTGATCAGATTATTTATCTCACTTCTTAAACACTCAATCACTAAAACTTTAGCTCTCCCTAGGAAACCCTCAACTCTCCCTCTAAAGAATCCAAGTTTTTCTCAAAAATAACCCAAAAACTCACTCTCTTGAGGAACAAAGCTCTTCCTGAGAAAGTTCTCCCTGAGAAAGTTCTCCCTAAGAGCTCTGATACCATTTTGATAACAAAGAATTTCACATAAAATTTGGAGACTTCACTCTTATTGATTCTTTGTCATATTGAAAACAGGACTACATATGTGTATTTGAAAACTCACATCAATAACATCATTTCCTAAGTGTCCAAGAAACTTTTCAATTGCCAAAACTATCATGGACACAACAAGAGACATTCTAATAAAACCTAATTAACTTATAATTAATTTTACTTAATCAACCCACAACATTTGTACTACTTTCAAATCACTAACAATCTATAAATAATACTGAAAACTTTTATTTGTATATAGGAAGCTGGACCAGGTGGGGTTTCAGGAGGTGGAACATGGGGAGCAGCGACTGACAAAGAAAGGGTATACACTAATATTGTGAATTCGGAAAACAAGAACTTCACCCTCAAACCATCGAACAAGACCACAACAACTGGAGGGTGGGTGGCAATGGAGGCAAAGAGTGGCAAGATTTTGTGGTCCACAGCAAACCCTAGTAATGCCACTGTTCATGGCCCTGTTACTGTAGCTAACGGCATTGTCTTTGCAGGATCCACAAATGCAAAAGGACCCATTTATGCCATTAACGCTAAGACTGGCAACATTTTATGGTCCTACGAAACAGGTTCTACAGTGTTTGGTGGTATGTCCGTCAGTGATGGTTGCATATATGTTGGAAATGGATATCAGATAGGCATTGGATTGTTTTCAAATTATTCTGCTGGAACTTCACTTTTTGCCTTCTGTGTCTAAGCAAAAAAATAAAAAATAAAAATAAACTGCTGAAATAAAGAAGAATGACCATATCATATCATGTTTTATGGTTTTTATTTGTGAATAAGTGGTCACAACAAGATCTACTGTGAAGTTGGAGTTTTGACCACATATTTTTTGTAATGCTTTTGTCTCAAACCTATGTTGAAATGCGTATATATAATCTGTTGTGTTTGGATGTTAATTGAAACCTATTATCTGGTACAGTTATTGCTTTTATATAATCTTTAAATTCATATATATATATATATATATATATATATATATATATATATATATATATATATATACATGCATATCCTCTAATTTAATGCAACAATATAGTCCAATGGTGAGGAAAATTGGTAGGAGTTCTAATTCTAACTGCTGTGTCACTTTGAGAGAGTGAGGGGAGAGATGATTTTGATATCTATACGTGTTTAGAATAAAATATTAGTTGACAATCGTGTGTTTACCGTATATCTTATCAACGACCTTTTATTTTTAATTATTATTTATGTCATTATATATTATTATTATTTTATTATTATTATTATTATATTAATATAATCCAGTTATTTATTGATTGTTCTGTTTAAAAAGTTGTCCAACGACAACAATGATTGCTCAAATGTTTACGTGTGTAGCCCAGTCTTAGGGACATTAGATTGAAACAAAAAGTAACACAATAATATGCGGACAAGTTATAACAACGAAATAGCAGTAAAACTAACTTTATGGATCGATCGAACAGACCAAAACAAGATTTTACAATGAAAACCTGCATATTTGAGTCTTTATTTATTGTACAAGGGTGAGATAAATGTAAGTTCATCTGCAAACAAGATTTAAAAAAAATGAAAAAATGTTTTGACTTTGAACTCTATTAATCTGAATGGTATATTGAAAGAAGAGGCATACATGCATCCATCTAAGACTTTATGATAGAATATTAAAAAGTATGAAGAGAAGGTTTATGATTTGAAAAAAAAAATTATATGAATTGAAGCAAGTTCAAGAACATGATACCTCAACATTGGTAGCTCTTTTATAGAAAAAGACTTAAAAGAATAATAAGAATGAGTCTACCATATATGTCAAACAATAAGGCATGAATAATATTTTAATTATTTTACTGTATGTGGATGATTTGATAATTATTGAAAGATAAACGATGGAGAGATATAAGATGAAAAAAAAAAAAATCTTCATTGCATCATTTTATTGGGTCAGAAATTTATTGAAAGTACTATATATGAAGTTTTTATTTATCGAACAAAATATACTTAAATAATATTGAAAAAGTTTGAAATGTTTTAGTATAATCTAATTGATACATCATTGTGAATAAAAAAACTCAAGAAAAAAAATGGAGGAAGAAAAGTTGATGTGAACAACTACAGAAGCTTGATTGATAACTTGTTTTATCTTAGTAATTCTTAACACTTGATATCATGTTTACAACTACTTTATTTTCTTAATAATCGGGATCATATCCATCTAGTACAACAAAAAGGGTGTTAAAATTCGTTTAAGACATGAAATAAAATATAACAGCAATACTGAAACCATGCTAGTTAATATTTGTAGTAATGATTCGACATAATGTATGAATAATATGAAGTAACAAGTCGGTTGTAATCAATCTTTTGTATTTCAATAGTGTTAACAATCCAACAAACAATTTGCTAAAAAAGAATACTACAATATTTTAGTAAAAAATAAGATGATGTAATTATTTATTTGTGATAATAAATCAATTATTGATTTTTATGGACAAAAATTCACTCTATCATAAAAACAAAACACATAATCATTAAACATCATTTTATTAAAAAAGTAATTGAAGAAGGAGAAGTAAATTGGAGTTTTGCAATTCCACTTATTAACTTGATGATATTTTTATGAAGGCATTATCTAAAGAAAGATTTAAGAAAATAAAAGAAGCTTTAAAATTAAGAATAATAGATTAAGAAAAAAATATTGAGTAACGTGTTATTATAAATTGCTTAATAAAGATTAAATATCTATTAAAGATATTTTAAGAATATTAAATTATACTTATGTAATTATTAATATTTGCAACTATTATAATATTTAAATTATAATAAAAAAATATAAAAAAATACAAAAATAATGAAATTAAAAATTAATTCAATCTTTAGATTATTTCTCTCTTATTCAAAATATTCTACATAATATTACAGAAAAATTAAGTTTCATGTTATACCAACATTACCTCAATCACTACCAACAAAAAATTGAAAGTTTAATTGTAAAAATATGTCACACACACACACACACACACACACACACACATACATATATATATATATATATATAACCCAGAACTTTACACCGATTTATGTTATATTACGTTGATTGAATCACTACAAAATTAATTTTTTTAAATTTTTATTGAAAATTTATAAAAATATTTCCATGAATGATAATTTCTAATAATAAATTTATTTAAAATCTTATCATAGAGTGACCCTAAAGGCAGAAAAGGACTTCATTGAAGAAGGAGGGAAATTGAAGTCATAAATGCAAAAATATTTATGAAGCAAATTATTGAAATGAAACTCCTCCATATTTTAATAGACAACAACCTAATAACATCCAAGCATATAAATCTTCTCCGTGGTGAAACTGCCCTGCACCAGAAATTATAAAAACAAAAGAAAATTAAATAAAATGCTTGCAAGTGTAAAACGGCATGGCACGGTTGTGCTCTTATTTCTTCAATGCAAACTCTACTCTGGAAGCGAACTATCAATCATCATCACACAATCCTTGACGAAACAGTGTAGCAAAGAGATCCATCACATGTTTGTTCATAACCAGCTCAACTTCAACCCCACCACTCCCATCCTTGCTCTCTGCCAACCCAATGCATGGACATGTACTCCGATCCAACGATGTTATCTCCACCTCAGCGGGCTTTCCCCAACCAAAATCAGTATCATAAACTCCAAATCGGTTAGACATTGTTACTCCAATAATTTGTACATCCTCCTGCCTTAAAAATTCCACGATTTGAGACAATCCATCAAAAACTGGCCCCTCGTCCAACATCTTTACTTTTCTATGAATGTGCTTAGCAACAATCACCACCCCTTCTTTCTTTATATAGTCTAACGGTTCTGCATTCACCAAACTGTTCCACACACAGTTTCCACAATAGTTATCAGGGATTCGAGGCTCTAACCTGAACCTCCAATCAGCCGCGAACCCAAAAGCAAACTTTTTTTTCTCCCTGTCAATTCCGTGCACGGCTTTTGCAATGCAAACTGTCACATAAGCACAGGTGATAACAAAGGATGATAAAGTAGATGGCTTTGAAGAAACGGTAGATTTTGATTCTTCCACCAGGTCCCACTTGGACAAGATCCTTCTCTTTATTATCTCCAAATCCCCTCGCGTGAGAACGAACTTGGCTCGAACCGCATCTTTGGCTACTGGTGGGGAAGGTCGACTCCTCAAGCATCGCTCGTCGCATTTTTGTTTGAAGTAAGCTCTCACATGTGTTGGTTCCTTGATGAGGGATCTTTCAAAGGAAGGCTGCAACTCTGGCACCAAAGGTAGTATTTGTGTATCATCGTTGGTTTGGCTACGGCATAGAGAAGCCCAAGCCTTGATGAACATAACTGCAGATTTTCCATCAAGGACGGCATGCTGAGTGCTCATGCCTATGCTGAATCCTTTATTAGGAAAGAGAGTGATCTGAAAACACATAACAGAAGCAATAGAATCCGACGAGTGCAAGTGGGGTACCAAAGGATGAGACCGTGCAGCTTCACGGGGTGAGTAATTTATCTCGTGATTGAATTCAGCATCGGACTCAGTAACCACCACGGAAACAGCGTCACCGGGTGTGAATTGGACGATGGGTTTTGGGGAATCGGAAGGCCAAACGATGTTTCCAGCGAGAGGGAGGAAGTAATGGAGGGTGTGAGAGAGAGAGGTTTTGAGCTTTGGAACGACATTGGCAAAGAAAAAAGTAGGGTCTGAGTGTGGAGGAGGGAGGGAATAGAAGAATGTGAGCTCAAATGGAAGGAGCCTGAGCCAAAATAAATCAAAGAAAGTGAGAGTGATGGATGTTTGGGTTGCTGATGGAGGGGCAACGGTGCATTGCTCATGGATTTTCATGTTATCAGAAGGTTTGAATGAATATAGCTCCTTAGATGAATATATATACACCGAATTTTAGTCTAAAGCCTGCAGAGAGAAGGAGAAAAAGTGAATAAAATATTCCTTCATGCGCAGCACAAGATCGATTTATATTAATGTAATCCAAGATATATATATATATATATATATATATATATATATATATATATATATATATATATATATATATATATATATTTAAAAACTAAAATGAACAGCACTCACACTGAAACTATTTGTAATAATCAGAATGAATCTTCACTCAATTATTTCCTAGTAATTTGTTCTGAGAACTAAACAAATTGGTAAAGGGTGGGTGATGATAGGTTGTAACACATGGATGATGCATACGACAAAAATACCATCCAGATTTTTTCTCAGTTATGCTGTTTCAATAATACGATTTTAATATGAATAGAAGAAATCATGTTATGGAAGATCACTTTAACATAACTTTTTTAATTGAAACCGTGTTAATATATTTTAGTTATATTTAATTTTAAGGATTCAATTATATTTAATTTTATTTATTTTTAAAATATTAATTAAGAGTTTTCCTTTTCTTATATTTAATATTATATTATAAAAAATAAATTTATTTGTATATATATTATAAGTATTTTAATTAAATAAATAATATAATTATATAACAAAACAAATATAAATTATAAATAAAATAATTAATTTATATGAGTATATATATTAAAGTTATTATAATTTATATCTATATATATATATTATATTTAATTTAATTTAAATATATATAAAAATGAAATTATTTATTTTAAAGAGAAGTATATAAAATATTAATTTATATTATTTTTATTGAATAGAATAAAATAAAATATCAAAATAAATTTATATATACATACATACACACACACATATATATATATATATATATATATATATATATATATATATTACTTAAATCATATTAGTAAATTTGTAAGTTTTTTAAAAGTGATCTATTCAGATAACCACGGACAAAAACGATCGCTTATGGCAAGAGAACCCGGTGGAATTAGAAGAAGTTGCGAGTGAACCGCACCCAGCGAGGGATATTTTATTTCCTCACCCACCAAACACGCTATGCCACTTTTTTTTAAATAATTTTTTAAAAATTTATACGCCACAAAAATAATAATTCTTTATATGTACTGTTCCTTAGGAGTCGAGATCAATCAAAATTTATATATATATTTTTCTTAAATGCATCATGACATATTTTAAAGATAAAACTGTATTAATAAGAGCTTTAAAACGGATAATACCTCAGATGTAGGAATTGACCTTAATAATATATTATTATAGCGGACATAAGACTGAAACACTCTTATTCTTAGATGGAACATAACCCCAATCAATAAGTTTCATATCACTTAGAAGTTGAGACCAACATACACTCTATTTTTTTAAACGCACTGAGACATCTTTAAAGGATAAAACCATAACAGATGAGAGCTCCAAAAAAGGACAATATCTCAGACGTGCGAATTGACCCTGATGATATTATCATAGCGGATTTGAGGCTTGAACACTCTTGTTTCTAGACCAAACATTAACATCCATTGTGAAACTAAGAATCAAGTCTCACTCCACTCTCATACCCCTTAGTCCTCGACTAGAGCTATGTTCTAGTGTTGAGCCTCACATCATTTAGGAGTCGAGGTTAACGATAATTTATATATACATTATTCTCTTAAACTCATTGATGCACATTTTAAGGACAAAATCGTGACGGACGAGAACTTTAAAGTGGATAATACCTCATATGTGTGAATTGACCTCAATAATGTTATCATAGCGAACACGAGATCGGAACACTCTCGCTCCTAGACAAAATATTGAGGCGTTCATGTAGGAGTTAAAAATAGAGTCTAACCCTACTAATATTTTTTAGTCCTCGACCGAGAGACTATATTATTTTCGTTCCTAAACGGAATATTAAAAAAAATTGATAATTTGTACGAGTCACTCGGAACTTAAAATGACATGAACTAAACATTTCTCAAACCAACCATTTCTTCAAAAGCAATATTCGAAATATTAAGATCATATCTCACGTCAATCAATTATTATATATATATATATATATAAAAAGAATAATTTTTTGTTTTTATTAAATCAATTTTATTTTGTATAATTAAATTCTTATCATTTTTAAAATCATATATATGAAAAATCCCCTAGTTACATTATTTTGCTAGAGTGGTTTATAGAATATAATTATTGAAGAGTTTTCCCACAAATTTTTTTAACTGTCTTTTTTAGAAAGCTTAGTAAAAGAAATTAAAAAAATCAGATATATTTATAAACACGTTAAACAAAAATAAAGAGATTAGTGTATGTTATTTTACTCTTTATCTCTTGATCTAAAAGCATTTTTTAAACTAATTATTTTTTTCATAAATCATGCATACATCCACAATGTATATTTCCTTTTGTAGGATAAATGTGATTTGAGATGAGCCAAATTGATGGATTTGAACCTAATACCTCGAGTTGAAGATCGATGATACTCCAACCACTAAGCTTATTAGGATATTTTGATAATAACTTACAAATAAATTATATTTATATTTATCCAGTGTAAATATATAAATATAAAATATATAAATACAAAATATATAAATACAAATATATTTATATATATATATGTATATATGTATATATTTATATATTTATATATTTATATATTTATATATTTATATATTTATATATTTATATATTTATATATTTATATAATTATATATTTATATATTTTATATTTATATTTTATATTTATATATATTTATATTTATATATTTTATATTTATATATTTACACGAATAAATATAAATATAATTTATTTGTAAGTTATTATCAAAATATCATAATAGCTTAGTGGTTGGAGTATTAGTCTTTAACTTTGAGGTATTGGGTTCGATTTTTGCTAGTGACAATTCTTTTAATATAATTTACCTACGCAATTATCCACAAAATTTTTTTGTTTATATTGTTCTATTTATTTTATTCATTCAGTGCTTATTTTAATTTCTACACTTTAATTGTTTAGAATTTTTATTTTATTCCAATACTTGCTTAATTTCAATTTTCAATTAATCTCTTTTACGATTTCAAATACAATTCTCAATTTAGTTTTAAAGTTATCGCTTTTAGAAATTTTAAATTTAATTACTGCACTCTTTTATTTTGCACTTTATTTGAACAACTTTTTAATTTAATTAAAATCACTTTGTTTTAATTTTATAAATTTCGAGTTATTTAAATTCTGCTTTAATTTAATTTTAATTATCATTATTATTCTACTGTAATTTGATTTTAATTTTTATTATTTTGTATTAATTTATGTTTTTTCACTCTTTAGTCAACCCCTTATTTAATGTTGTTCACACTTGCTTTTTAAAGAAATGATGTGTGATAATTGGTATATTCCTATAATTGTGTCTTTATGATATTCGATATGGATTAGTTATATTGTATTAATTTAACAACCTTTTTTTTATTTATCAATATTTTGTGTGACCAAAATGTTGTCGTCAAATGGCGTCATTGTCGGGACACAATTGTGTTGTGTAACATTATCTAATGTCATTTTCTTTTTTCTAATTTTCTTTTTCTAACTTTATTTTAAAAAATTAAAAAAATAAAAATTAAAAAGAAATTTGTTTGTGTATGCTCCATAATCCTTTTTGCAAGAAATTATGAATAAGCATCCTTGTAAGAAAATTCTGAAAAACCATTCTCATAAAAAACTCTAGATATAGCTTGGTAGTGTGAGAGAGCATGTCTATGAAGGTTCTGGTTAGGAAAGACTTGATATTTAAGTATGTTCATTAGTGACTCACCTCTCTTTCTTGTGAACCTACCTGATTGTTCACGATTACCATTGTTCTTGTAGACAAGTGATCTTGAGACCATGAACTCTAAATGAACATTAGAGGAACTGACATCTTTGATATGACAATTGACCATGGACTAGCACACATTTCGACAACAATATTTATGTGGGATATGCACCTCCGTAGATCATCCCACTGGTGTATGTCCTCAACTTCAAGAGACACCAAGCTTAAGTAGAGAAACAGTGAGCGGTATATTCCTTGAACAACAACATTACAAGCAGTAAAATTCATACTAGTCACAACAGGAGTACAACTCGTACTTAGTCACATATAATCTTGGTTGGAGAGACCATCAAAACATGAAATATGGTCATGTCTTCAACCAACCACCAAATATTCCTTTCCAATTGTTAAGTGGTAAAAAGTTGATATAATTATACTTTGAATTGTTATGAAATCACTTAACTTATGTTAATTTTAATATATTTTTCTCCCAATGTAGGATGAATTTGAGAATACCTTGATACAAGAGTAAGGAGCATAATTGTCAATATAATTGGAGCAAAACTAAAAGGAGGAAGAAGATTTTCAGCATGGAAGTCGCTTGAGCGAGATAGACTCTCGCTTGAGCGAATATAAGTTATTCTTCTCTGGAAGTGAGTCGCTCAAGCGCCAGTAAATTCGCTAGAGCGAATATGAGTTATTCGTCTCTAGAGCTCACTCGCTCAAGCGAGTGATTTGTCGCTTGAGCGAAAATAGCGAACTTTCGCTTGAGCAAGTGTTGTCGCTTGAGCGAAAGACGCGAAGCCCAAAAGCCCAATTTATCCTATAAAAAGATAAGACAAGTTTTGAGAGGGGGTAAGCAATTTTGGGGAGAGGAGGCATGACTACTGCTAGGGTTTCATCCAATCTTCATCAATTCTTCACTTCTTCCACATTTGGAGCATTGTAATGGCCAACATGAGTGTCTAACTTCATTTTCTTGGGGTTTGGTGCACTTCCTTTGAACTCTTTTGTACAATGGTGATATTTTGAGATATTAATTTATGTTTTGATGTTGTTATTCTTATCCTTTGTACTTTGGAATTATTTATTCTTGATTTTTGGGATATGATTGGAAAATATATCTTGAACCCTAGATCAGGGTAATAATATTTGTTACGTTAATTGCCAGGAATGGAATGAATGTATCAATTGCTTAACACCCTAAACTTAATGCTGGAAAATCTCTTAATTGTGTGAGGAATCAACATTTATTAGGTTTTCTTATGAATTTCATGTGTGAGGAATCAACATGAATGATTTGAGTAGGTGGCATCAACATTGTTAGGTTAATTGACGTTCTTAATTGACATAGTCATTACAAAAAAAAGGAAGCCAATCCTAAGTGCCTTTAATTGATATTTTCTCAATAATTTACAGTTCTTTGGCATTTAATTTCAATTCAACTCTTTGTGCAAAATCAAATTTGTTTTAATCCACTTAGTAAGCATATAATTGAGAATTTCCATTGAAACTGTTCCTCGTGAAATCGACTTTTATTTAATCGAAATACTATAATGCGATTGATAATTTTGGTACGCTTGCCAATAATTCAACAAGTATTTCTGGCGCCGTTACTGGGGAACGATGTTCTTTGAGAATTTTTTGTTTAACTTATTAAGTATTTTATTTTTATTTCTCTTTTGCTTTATTTTTCAGTTTTATTTTGCTTAATTATTTTCTTGTGATAATCTTTGCTTGAGTTACTCTTTTGATTTATGCGTTTAAGAGGACATGTGTCTTCAGAGCAGTTAGAATTTAATCCGGAGATTGAAAAATCGCTCGGAGGAACTGGGGTAGAAGAAGGGAAACTCAAGAACAAGCCACAGGAGAATCAGTTAACTCTTCTTCCACACTCAATTTACCATACCCAATTATAGAAGACATGGCGGAAGACGGAGCAAATCTAAATCCAAATCCAAATCCACCTAGAAGAACACTTAGAAATTATGTTATGCAACAAGGTTCGAGACATTTCTCTAGCATTGCAATACCAGACGACCAAACATTGCAGATGAATCCAACTTTCTTAAGCTTGATTAGTGCTCATCAATTCACTGGATTGGATCATGAAGACCCTTACATTCACTTGTCTTCTTTTTATGAGTTGATTGGTACCATGGGAATTAGAGTAGCAGATATTGAATCTGCATATTTGAGATTATTTCCTTTTTCTTTCACAGGTAGAGCAAAAGAGTGG